ACTCTCTGCTGTCTAATTGTTAGCCATGCCTCTACCCAGGAAAAAATTTCTCCTCTTATTCCGTGTGCCTTAAGTTTCCTCAATAGCCTCTGGTGTGGAACTCTATCGAAAGCCTTACTGAAGTCCATATACACAATATCATATTCATTACCATGATCTACCTCCTCAAACACCTTAGTGAAAAAAGTTAGTAAATTCGTAAGACAGGAATGCTAAAACTTTTGTAAAACCAATAATTGACGAATTGCTTCGTCAATTATTGATTCCATAAATTTTCCCACTATGGAGGTAAGGCTTATTGGTCTATAGTTCAAAGCAAGGATCTGTCACCTGCCTTGTAAATAGGAATTACATTTGCCATTTTCCACTTATCAGGCACTATGCCAGTTTGTAGTGATATGTTAAAAAGATTAGCCAAAGGTATGCTAAGTTCCTCTTTACATTCCTTTAACACCCTTGCAAACAGTTCATCAGGGCCTATCAGAACTATCTTGTCCCTATCTCCCGAGGGCTTCACCTCTGTCCCTCATTTCTTGCATCTGAACCTACCAAAGAGCAATTGCCCTTGGATTTCTCCTCTGATAGATTGGAGCCGTATAAAGTACCTTTTGCTATTCTAGAATTAGAGTCCATGCATGCTAAAGGAATAACAGGAAAAGTTGGTCGATGGATCTATAATTTCCTCACAAACAGAAACAAAGAGTAGTAGTCAACAGAGTAAAGTCCGAGGCAGCTACGATGAAAGGCTCTGTTCCACAAGGCACAGTACTCACTCCCATCTTGTTCCTCATCCTCATATCTGACATAGACAAGGATGTCAGCCACAGCACCGTGTATTCCTTTGCAGATGACACGCGAATATGCATGACAGTGTCTTCCATTGCAGACACTGCAAGGCTCCAGGCGGACATCAACCAAATCTTTCAGTGGGCTGCAGAAAACAATATGAAGTTCAACGATGAGAAATTTCAATTACTCAGATATGGTAAACAAGAGGAAATTAAATGTTCATCAGAGTACAAAACAAATTCTGGCCACAAAATAGAGTGAAACACCAACGTCAAAGACCTGGGAGTGATCATGTTGGAGGATCTCACCTTCAAGGACCATAACATTGTATCAAACGCAGCTGCTAGAAAAATGACAGGATGGATAATAAGAACCTTCAAAATTAGGGATGCCAAGCCATGATGACACTCTTCAGGTCACTTGTTCTATCTAGGCTGGAATATTGCTGCACACTAACAGCACCTTTCAAGGCAGGTGAAATTGCTGACCTAGAAAATGTACAGAGAACCTTCACGGCACGCACCTGTATAGTCCTTGTGGCTTAGCGCTTCTTTTTGATTATAATAATAATTCACGGCACGCATAACGGAGATAAAACACCTCAATTACTGGGAGCGCTTGAGGTTCCTGAACCTGTATTCCCTGGAACGCAGGCGGGAGAGATACATGATTATATACACCTGGAAAATCCTAGAGGGACTAGTATCGAACTTGCACACGAAAATCACTCGCTACGAAGCAAAAGACATGGCAGATGATGCAACATCCCCCCAATGAAAAGCAGGGGTGTCACTAGCACGTTAAGAGACCATACAATAAGTGTCAGGGGCCCGAGGCTTTTCAACTGCCTCCCAACATACATAAGGGGGATTACCAATAGACCCCTGGCAGTCTTCAAGCTGGCACTGGACAAGCACTTAAAGTCGGTACCTGGCCAGCCGGGCTGTGGCTTGTACGTTGGTTTGCGTGCAGCCAGCAGTAACAGCCTGGTTGATCAGGCTCTGATCCACCAGGAGGCCTGGTCACAGACCGTGCCGCGGGGGCGATGACCCCCGGAACTCTCTCCAGGTAAACTCCAGGTTTCCATGTTTCGGCGGTCGGCACAGGGACCTGATGATATCCACATCAGTATGCTACACCATCTCGATTCTACTGCCCTTCCTGTTCTATTACATCTTTTCAATCTAATTTGGGAGCGAGGGGTTCTCCCACAACACTGGAAATCAGATGTTGTACTACCTTTTCACAAACCAGGCGGCTCACTATCGTCCCATTGACCAGTGTGGTCTGCAAGGTGATGGAACGATTGGTGAATAGACGTCTGATGTGGGTCTTAGAGACACACAACAGCCTTTTCCCTTGCCAATATGGCTTTCGCAAAGGCCGCTCCACTTTAGACTCCTTGCTCCACTTTGATACATATATTCAAAATGCCTTTGCTAACAACCACTGTCCTAGTGGTCTTTTTCGATCTAGAGAAGGCATATGACACCACTTGGACGTATAACATTCTAGCCAAAGCCCACTCCTTAGGCCTCCACGGTAATTTACCAACCTTCATTGCTGCTTTCTTGTCTGATAGACATTTTCATGCGCCTCGCTTTCCTCGGACTTTGTACAAGCAGAAGGAGTCCCACAGGGTTCTGTCCTCAGTACTACTCTTTTTCTCTTAGCTATAAATGACCTACCTTCCATTCTTCCTTCGCATATTTGGTCATCACTTTATGTTGATGACTTCACTATAGCTTACTCGGGCACTGACTGTCGACTAGTATCAACCTCCCTTCAGGAGGTTGATACTAGTCGGTTGATACTAGGAGGTTGATTACTAGGAGGTTGATTCCAGTATGAAAACCCGATTCATTACCTTCACTAGACATCTGCTTATACTGGATACTCCCTTGTACTTACACGGCTCACGTGATACAGTCAGGTTTCTGGGCCTGCTCTTTGAACGCCGGCTGATGTGGAGACCTCACATTTCTTCATTAAAGACAACTTGGCATGGTCGGCTAAATCTCCTTCAGGTTCTCTGGCAAAAGCCTTCGACAAGTGTGACCATGGTCTGATAGTGCATAAAATGCATAAAGGAATAACAGGAGAAATTGGAAGATGGATCTATAATTTCCTGACAGAACACAAGAGTAGTAGTCAACAGAGTAAAGTCTGAGGCGGCTATGGTGAAAAAGCTCTGTTCCGCAAGGCACAGTACTCGCTCCCATCTTGTTCCTCATCCTCATATCGGACATAGACAGGGATATAAGCCACAGTGCTGTGTCTTCCTTTGCAGATGACACCCGAATATGCATGAGAGTGTCCTCCATTGAAGACACTGCAAGGCTCCAGGCGGACATCAACCAAATCTTTAAATGAGCTCCAGAAAAATATGAAGTTCAGTGATGACAAATTTCAACTACTCCGATAAGGTAAACGTGAGGAAATTAAAATTTCATCAGAGTATACAACAAATTCCAACCACACATTAGAGCGAAAAATAACGTCAAAGACCTGGGAGTGATCATGTCAGAATATCTCGCCTTCAAGGACCATTGTATCAATCGCATCTGCTAGAAAAATGAGAGCATGGATAATGAGAACCTTCAAAACCAGGGATGCCAAGCTCATGATGACACTTTTCAGATCACTAGTTCAATCTAGGCTTGAATATTGCTGCACCCTAACAGCACCTTTCGAGGCAGGTGAAATTGCTGACCTAGAAAATGTACAGAGAACCTTCACGGCACCCATAACTGTGATAAAACACCTCAATTACTGGAAACGCTTGAAGTTCCTAAACCTGTACTCCCTAGAATGCAGGTGGGAGAGATACACGATTATATACACTTGGAAAATCCTAGAGGGATTAGTACCAAATATGCACACGAAAATCACCCCTTACAAAACCAAAAGACACTGCAGACGATGCAACATCCCCCCAGTGAAAAGCAGGGGTGCCACTAGCACTTAAGAGACAACACAGCAAGTGTTAGGGGCCCAAGACTGTTGAACTGCCTCCCAGCATACAAAAGGGGGATTACCGATAGACCCCTGACTGTCTTCAAGCAGGCACTGGACAACAGTACCTGACCAGCCAGGCTGTGGTTAGTACGTTGGATTGTGTGGCCAGCAGTAACTGGTTGATCAGACCTTGATCCACCATGAGGCCTGGTCACAGACCGGGCTGAGGGGGCGTTGAACCCTCTCCAGGTAAACATTCATGGGGAGTGAATCATCGCATTCTCCTCGTTTGCATTCCACCCTAGTCTTGTCCAAGCTAGATTATGGTGACCAAATCTATTCTGCAGCCTCTCCCTCAACTCTAGTTAGATCCTATACATCACTAAGGTCGTCTGTGCCCTTCATTCATCCCCTTGAGAGCCTCTGTGTAGAAGCGACTGTATAGTCCTTGTGGCTTAGCGCTTCTTTTTGATTATAATAATAATAATAATGTGTAGAAGCGAATTTTCCATCCTTGTCTGATCGCCGTGATGCTCTTTGCCTTGCTATTACATTCCATCTCATGACCTCTACAATCCTTCAGTATATAGGATAGTCATTGATGTCGTTCCTTATTTGTTCATCGCCCCTGTTTACTCACTCCCTTTTCTCTCCACCTACATTCGTTCTTGTCTTCTCTTCAGTTCCCACCTCTCTATGGTCATCTACCCCTCAAGGAGGTTCCTTGATGCTGGTGAGGGGCTCTTGATCTAGGAAATTGGATCTGTGATTTGGTTCCCAGAATTGAGCCTGAATACCTTCCATCCCCCCCCCCACATGCACAGTATAATCCTACATGTAGTGTCTCACTTTTCCCTGGCCCCTTGGGAAGTTCCGGCTGTTTGTGTCTGTTCTTTCCCACTGCCAGCAGCGCTGTATAGCCCTTGTGGCTTAGCGCTTCTTTTTGATTATAATAATAATTTCCCACTGCCATGCAGTCGAGTCCAGACTCTCACTTTTTGATGGCAACTGATTTGCTACACAAACTCTGATGATGTCTCTAGCACTTTCCTCAGTCCTTTCCACCTTAATCTCTAGCTACCCTGCTGCACTTCATAACCTAATAATCATCTCTCTCCCTCTTGCTACCCATTACCCCTGCATCCTTCCCTGCCCTATTGCACTGTATAACCCTAGTGGTTTAGTGCTTCTTTATTATAATAATAATAATTAACACTAAGAAAATACTGTAGGAATTTGGATAATACCTAAACTGCAATACAGTACCATTTATTTTTTAATCTACATACAATGAACTTTCAAGATACATAAGATGAAATGGTTTCTAGTTGAAAAAATAAAAGACAAAGTGCTTTGTATTTAATTTACAAAATTTAAATCATACAAAATTGCTTCATTCTATGTATTAAAATATTCGTAAGGAAAACCACAGCTTCCAGAAACAGGCTATTTGCCACAGTAAATAATAGAAATGTTTAATATTGACATAAGCTGTCAGTGGCCCTGATATACCCAACAAACAAAACATTTAATATAAAATGGCTGTTTAATTAATAAAGTTCAGACTACAAATGCAAGAAAGTTTAAATGCAACATGATTTCTTCAATTATTTAAAGTAAAAAGACACTAGCGGAACTAATGTGACATTTTTATTGTGGCAACGTTTCGCTCTCCACAGGCTACAAGTGCAACATGATTTAACAAAGTTCACAGACTACAAATGCAAGAAAGTGTAAATGCAACATGATTAGCTTGTACATTTGTGCTTACTAATACACTACAATTACAGGGTCTCATTTAATGACCACATCTGCAAATCTTATAAAAAAAAATAGAATTATTGTTTATTTCAACATTGTACAACTTTTTTACAAACACTTCACATAAAATTATAAATATGCAAATTACAACTTAAAAAAAAAAAGACTTTTTGTTACACAATGGAACTGTATTAATACTATTTATGGTACTGTTTACTTTCTAGAAAAAAAAAGGTACAATATTGTCTGCATTATAAGAGATTGTGGTAACACAATTCGAAACAAATTACCTTGCAAAGCAAGGTCTAAGCAACTCCATTAATTTTTCTGTTTTGCTTAACATATAACTGGCATCATCACTGGTATAGTAGTCACAGGGACATCCTTGCATAGAAGGATAGCGTAAATTGGTATGATGGCCAACACGAGTTTCTAAGTCAGATGCAAGTAAGCACGACTCACTTGATTTTAAATTTGATGCTATGTCAAGAAGTGAATAAATTTCTCCGCCCCAGTGAAATTTTGCTGCCTTGCTTCGGTCCTCAAGGTATAAGGCTGCTTTTAAGATCTTCTCTGCTGCCTGAAAGAAGGAATGCAATTTAGATGTTTATAATTAACTACCTATTTGCAAATACCTAATTACTTAGGATATACTTGAAAGTATCATTAAGACATGTATCAAAGCAGTTAGAAGAGGATATGTAGTACATTTTGCGGTATGAGCCCCAATGTACCCATCTGGAATATGTCATGCCTCATTCATGCCAATAAAATAACATGTCCTGAGTTGCAGCAAGGTTCACTGCACACTGTCATCATACCTTTGCTATTGCTTGTGTGTTGATCAACTATTAAGCCAGCTGCTGCTTTTCTATCTGCAAAGCCCCTAATGGCCCTATGGTTATCTTCTGGATTTTGTGGCAATCCCTGCTTAGATTAGGCATTCAATATTAGGTAGGTTTTCGATAGACAAACCACCATGATCTTCTCCACTTCTACTCTCACCAGGACACCAAAACTAAACGTGGTGTAATTACGTATAGGCTTTTTAATGCATGCACTCAGAATCTGCAGCAATGAGTTCCTTGAGGAAGAATGCACTATAATTGAACAAGTGTTTTCCAAACTTCACTATCCTCGTTACTTCATCAGAGACTGCAGATGACGGGCATTAAACATCTTCAACACACCCAAAGACACTGCCGAGAAGAGACACATAGTCCTCCCCACCAACTCCATTGCCAAACACATTTCCAACACCTCATTCCAAGTATCTACCTCCACAACCACGACCATCAAGGACATTATCAGTAATAGACAGGACAAGCTTCCATCCTCTGCTGGGGTATACATAATCCCTTGTAATGACTGCAGCAAATTATGCGTGGGCGAAACATCAAGAGACTTCCAAACACGTATTTCAGAACACCAGTACACAGGCAGATCTGAGGATTCAAGGAATGCCTGTGCACAACACCGAAATTCACACAACCATTTAATCAACTACAGAAACGCAAGACTTACTGCCAGAGAAGACAACACCCAATACCGAAGAATCCTGGAATCATCACTTCTCTATATTCAACAACTTCAACCAGAACAACGGCTTCTATAACATAGCTGAATCCTTTGCCAAAAAACTTCTTCATCCCTATCCCACATAAGAGCATAAGAATGGAGGAACACTGCAGAAGGTCTACTCATATACTTATCCAAATCTCTCTTCCATTTCTATAACCCTACTCGGTAGACTGTCACATGCAGCATTCTCAACCTGACTTCATCCTATAAATACTCACGTACCTTCCATCCAGGTAGATCTGTTTGTGCCTTGATTAAGTCCACTGTGTGGGCGAAACATTGTCAATAAAGGATCACATTATACTGCATACGTGTTTATATTTCCAATGTTTGTAAGGGCTTGAAAAAAAGCCATTGAAAACACATAACTTACATCTGTGTCCTAACATGTGTACAGTTGATTGAGAATTAATTCCCCAAATATTTTTGAAAGCATTGGTAGATTAGAGAATGGTCTGTAGTTGTTAATAAGAGAATGGTCTGTAGTTCTTAATCCCCTCAAGGAAGGTTCCTTGATGTTGGTGAGGGGCTCTTGATTTAGGGAATTGGATCTGTGCTCCAGTTCCCCGAATTAAGCCTGAATGCCTTCCACATCCCCCCCCAGGCGCTGTATAATCCTCCGGGTTTAGCGCTTCCCACTTGATTATAATAATAATAATGTAGTTCTTAACATAAGATGAATCACCACCTTTGTGGACAAATGTTATCCTGGCTCTGGAAAGGCTTGTTCCTGAAGTGATTTGTTGGAAAATGCTGCAATTGCTTTTTTATGAAGATAATGGTTGGTACTTCATTTCTGCTACTACCTGTATTTTCAAGTGATTTTACTACTGAAGCTATTTTTGCAGGGGTTTATTTTACTCTCTCAAATACTCATGGCAATGAAAGATTCTGACTTGCTTCAAATCTGAAAATTTGATTCAAGGGACAAACATTAAATCAATAATAAGTATAGTATATAATGAACACGCTAAGATAACAGGGATATCTTGCTACTCCTACTTACACTTTGGTCACACTTCACAGACACGCACATGCATATATATATATATACATACATCTAGGTTTTTCTCCTTTTTCTAAATAGCTCTTGTTCTTTTTTATTTCTTCTATTGTCCCTGGGGGAAATGGAAAAGAATCTTTCCTCCGTAAGCCATGCGTGTCGTATGAGGCGACTAAAATGCCGGGAGCAATGGGCTAGTAACCCCTTCTCCTGTATACAATTACTAAAAAAAGAGAAGAAAAACTTTATAAAACTGGGTTGTTAAATGTGCGTGGATGTAGTGCGGATTTACAAGAAACAGATGATTGCTGATGTTATGAATGAAAGAAGTTGGGTGTCCCGGCCCTAAGCGAAACAAAGCTGAAGGGGGTAGGAGAGTTTCAGTGGGGGGAAATAAATGGGATTTAAATCTGGAGTATCTGAGAGAGTTAGGCAAAGGAAGGGGTAGCAGTAATGTTAAATGATCAGTTATGGAAGGAGAAAAGGAAAATGAATGTGTAAATTCAAGAATTATGTGGATTAAAGTAAAGGTTGGATGCGAGAAGTGGGTCATAATAAGTGTGTATGCACCTGGAGAAGAGAGGAATGCAGAGGAGAGAGAGAGATTTTGGGAGATGTTAAGTGAATGTATAGGAGCCTTTGAACCAAGTGAGAGAGTAATTGTGGTAGGGGACTTGAATGCTAAAGTAGGAGAAACTTTTAGAGAGGGTGTGGTAGGTAAGTTTGGGGTGCCAGGTGTAAATGATAATGGGAGCCTTTGATTGAACTTTGTATAGAAAGGGGTTTAGTTATAGGTAATACATATTTAAGAAAAAGAGGATAAATAAGTATACACGATATGATGTAGGGCGAAATGACAGTAGTTTGTTGGATTATGTATTGGTAGATAAAAGACTGTTGAGTAGACTTCAGGATGTACATGTTTATAGAGGGGCCACAGATATATCAGATCACTTTCTAGTTGTAGCTACACTGAGAGTAAAAGGTAGATGGGATACAAGGAGATAGAAGCATCAGGGAAGAGAGAGGTGAAGGTTTATAAACTAAAAGAGGAGGCAGTTAGGGTAAGATATAAACAGCTATTGGAGGATAGATGGGCTAATGAGAGCATAGGCAATGGGGTCGAAGAGGTATGGGGTAGGTTTTAAAAATGTAGTGTTAGAGTGTTCAGCAGAAGTTTGTGGTTACAGGAAAGTGGGTGCAGGAGGGAAGAGGAGCGATTGGTGGAATGATGATGTAAAGAGAGTGTAAGGGAGAAAAAGTTAGCATATGAGAAGTTTTACAAAGTAGAAGTGATGCAAGGAGGAAGAGTATATGGAGAAAAAGAGAGAAGTTAAGAGAGTGGTGAAGCAATGTAAAAAGAGAGCAAATGAGAGAGTGGGTGAGATGTTATCAACAAATTTTGTTGAAAATAAGAAAAAGTTTTGGAGTGAGATTAACAAGTTAAGAAAGCCTAGAGAACAAATGGATTTGTCAGTTAAAAATAGGAGAGGAGAGTTATTAAATGGAGAGTTAGAGGTTTTTGGGAAGATGGAAGGAATATTTTGAGGAATTGTTAAATGTTGATGAAGATAGGGAAGCTGTGATTTCGTGTATAGGGCAAGGAGGAATAACATCTTGTAGGAGTGAGGAAGAGCCAGTTGTGAGTGTGGGGAAGTTCGTGAGGCAGTAGGTAAAATGAAAGGGGGTAAGGCAGCCGGGATTGATGGGATAAAGATAGAAATGTTAAAAGCAGGTGGGGATATAGTTTTGGAGTGGTTGGTGCAATTATTTAATAAATGTATGGAAGAGGGTAAGGTACCTAGGGATTGGCAGAGAGCATGCATAGTTCCTTTGTATAAAGGCAAAGGGGATAAAAGAGAGTGCAAAAATTATAGGGGGATAAGTCTGTTGAGTGTACCTGGTAAAGTGTATGGTAGAGTTATAATTGAAAGAATTAAGAGTAAGACGGAGAATAGGATAGCAGATGAACAAGGAGGCTTTAGGAAAGGTAGGGGGTGTGTGGACCAGGTGTTTACAGTGAAACATATAAGTGAACAGTATTTAGATAAGGCTAAAGAGGTCTTTGTGGCATTTATGGATTTGGAAAAGGCGTATGACAGGGTGGATAGGGGGGCAATGTGGCAGATGTTGCAAGTGTATGGTGTAGGAGGTAGGTTACTGAAAGCAGTGAAGAGTTTTTACGAGGATAGTGAGGCTCAAGTTAGAGTATGTAGGAAAGAGGGAAATTTTTTCCCAGTAAAAGTAGGCCTTAGACAAGGATGTGTGATGTCACCGTGGTTGTTTAATATATTTATAGATGGGGTTGTAAGAGAAGTAAATGCGAGGGTCTTGGCAAGAGGCGTGGAGTTAAAAGATAAAGAATCACACACAAAGTGGGAGTTGTCACAGCTGCTCTTTGCTGATGACACTGTGCTCTTGGGAGATTCTGAAGAGAAGTTGCAGAGATTGGTGGATGAATTTGGTAGGGTGTGCAAAGAAGAAAATTAAAGGTGAATACAGGAAAGAGTAAGGTTATGAGGATAACAAAAAGATTAGGTGATGAAAGATTGAATATCAGATTGGAGGAGAGAGTATGGAGGAGGTGAACGTATTCAGATATTTGGGAGTGGACGTGTCAGCGGATGGGTCTATGAAAGATGAGGTGAATCATAGAATTGATGAGGGAAAAAGAGTGAGTGGTGCACTTAGGAGTCTGTGGAGACAAAGAACTTTGTCCTTGGAGGCAAAGAGGGGAATGTATGAGAGTATAGTTTTACCACGCTCTTAATGGGTGTGAAGCGTGGGTGATGAATGTTGCAGGCGAGGAGAAGGCTGGAGGCAGTGGAGATGTCATGTCTGAGGGCAATGTGTGGTGTGAATATAATGCAGAAATTCGTAGTTTGGAAGTTAGGAGGAGGTGCGGGATTACCAAAACTGTTGTCCAGAGGGCTGAGGAAGGTTGTTGAGGTGGTTCGGACATGTAGAGAGAATGGAGCGAAACAGAATGACTTCAAGAGTGTATCAGTCTGTAGTGGAGGAAGGCGGGGTAGGGGTCGGGCCCAGGAAGGGTTGGAGGGAGGGGGTAAAGGAGGTTTTGTGTGCGAGGGGCTTGGACTTCCAGCAGGCATGCGTGAGCGTGTTGATAGGAGTGAATGGAGACAAATGTGTTTTAATACTTGACGTGCTGTTGGAGTGTGAGCAAAGTAACATTTATGAAGGGATTCAGGGAAACCGGCAGGCCGGACTTGAGTCCTGGAGATGGGAAGTACAGTGCCTGCACTCTGAAGGAGGGGTGTTAATGTTGCAGTTTAAAAACTGTAGTGTAAAGCACCCTTCTGGCAAGACAGTGATGGAGTGAATGATGGTGAAAGTTTTTCTTTTTCGGGCCACCCTGCCTTGGTGGGAATCGGCCGGTGTGATAATAAAAAAAAAAAAAAAAATAATGAACTTTGGTGGAAGCTAGTATGATAACCAAATACTGTACTGTAACTTAAATGTTCATGAGACAAAGCGAGATAAAAGTGAAAATTAGCAATTTCTATTTCTGATTCTATAATGTACTCTGTGTTTACATAAACAATATTGAACATAAATATATCTTTCAAGCTTACCTGATAGCACATATACATGATCCAGCATGAAGATTCTCCATGACGTTGATTAGCTTCAGCGAAGTCATGTTCAGCCTGTTTAAGCCATTTCATGCTTTCAGGGTAATCAGGCATCTTTTCCTCAGATGTTCGGTTTCTAAAAAATCCATAGGAACTTCTCTTCTGTCTTCGCGGTCGCCGGAACATACCTGTATCTCTGAAGAAGAAGTCACTGGGATCACTATTTGAATATGAAGTGTTTACATCTTCATCTGATATATCCTCTCCACTTTCTAGCCGTTTCATTAGGTGCTGTATATATTGCATTACACGGGTACAAAGCTCCACCCTGTGACTGTTCTTATCTGGATGCCACTTGAGAATCAGGCGGCGCAGGAGATGGCGTCTTTCTTTTTCATCTGTAACTTTCCAGATTTCTTGAATCTGCTTTTTTATCATCTTCATAATCTCTTTTTCAGCGAGATTATCAGATACATCATCAGTTACAGTTATGTGATCAGCTAGCATTATGTCACTGCAGTCATTTGCTGCAGGTCTTACAAACTTGTATAGCTGATGGGATCTAACTATCACACAAGACTTAATTTCATATCCAGTTTCAACTTCATATTCATCCATAAACACATTATCATGACGTCTTACCAACCGTTTCACTTGAACAATGGTATAAATATTCTCTTCAGGATCTTCACCATCTTCAACCTCTCCAAGAATATACTTCTTCATGCAAACAATTTCTCCTTCATGGAATTTGTAAAACTCGTTATCCAGCAAAGGGATTAATTCTTCATTAAGATAAGAACCTACCTCTGCTGGATAAAATTCATAATCAGTGTTCATAACTTTCCAAGCAGTGATATTCAACTCATTTAATATTGCTGGAATATCATGAGGTTTTTCATATGAGCTCAATATGCATGCTAAATGGTCCATCACTATTACTGAAGTTAAGTTCAGCAATTTTCTGTAAGTTTTGCGTAGTCCACTTGTAAGCAAAGAACTGGTAATGTTCTCACAAATATATAATGTTACTTTTCTCTCTCCTTCATTGCTGACTTTCACAAAATACTTTCGATTTCGTTTACCCACTTCCTCTTGATTAACCTTCAAATTTGTGGTAATTGTCTTCACCTGCTTCACATCTACTTTATCAAAAATACTCATCAATTCTTTTGCTTTTGCTTCAGTAAAAATAATTCCTTGTGATATATAATCATGATTTATGATTCTCAGTACTGCCATTTTAAAACCATTAGAATAAAGTAATTCTCTTAACTGTTTAAGTAATTTTGTTGTTATTTCCTCAGTATTGCTTTCTAGGTCTTCTTTCACAGCATGAGACAAAAGCTTTGGCTGTAAATTACTTGGCAAAAGCTTCACAAAGTCAGCATCATTCAGTGGTATTTTTAGGCTATGAAAACCTATAAATATTGATTCATTTAACTTTCCCTTTAAGGCATCTAAATATTCCTCAATATCTGCCACATACATTTCAGAAGACTTTTCTAATTTTCCTTCTTTGGTTGGAAGGTATAACTCAGCAGCTGTAACATTTTTGAGCTTCAGTATATTTTTGTGTAAGCCTTGAAGAGCCAACTTCATACAATTCCATTCCTCAGGGTGTAACTTTTGCTGCTGACTTCTGTTATAGATCATCTTTAAAACTTGAGCATAAGTGTCACAAGTAGCAACCTCAACAGCTCCAAGCTTTTTAAAAAGGTCAATGTATTTCCCATATGTTATTGGTGCTTTATATAAATACGGGATAATTTCTCCTTCCAAATTTTCAACCACTAAATTAGCAGTAACAAAGGTCTTTTGACTGGGTAAGTGAACTAATGGAATAGTCTGGTAAGCAATCACATCATGAAGACTGTGATGTAAATGCTGGTAAATGCTTTCCATCACAGACACAATGGTAGAGCTTGAATTCTCCTGTTTAGATGTTAAAAACGTGCAAAGTTTGCTTATGTGCTCAAGAACTTTTTCTTGAGGGGGAGTTTTCAAGATGTTTAAATCTTCTTGAGCATGAGAACTATATGCAACATTACTTGCATATTGTGGCAAAAGACTCGTTGTTGTCCACAGAAGATCAGAAAATTTTGATGGCACACCACCAGAAAAAGAGACTAGCCCAGATGCTGTTTTAAAATATGGTAAAATTTGTTTTAGTCTTTCAGATTCTTCAGGTGCAAGAAATTCAATTTTCCTTATTTGAGAACATCTCGATTTTAGCTTGTCAAAGTTATCAAAAAGGTATGTAGTAAGAATTTTAGACTTTAATTTAACATTAGAGTCAGCAGATGTTAATTCACTAGCATACTGTACATACATTTCTGCAGTCAGTTCATGTACCATGCCAGCCAATTTGAGAAAATAACTCCATTCACGCTTTTGCCATTCTGGTGGTAAATTGTTTAACTCCATCACCTTGAATACTGGATTATCTGGATCATAGAAATGATCTGCAGTTGTGAATATTCCATTGAGGTTTATAATAGGAGTCTTTTTTAATGCTAAAACAACATTTTTTTGACTTTGTTCCCATGTGTCCTCTTTCTTGTGTTGTAATTTTGTTAGTTCATCTCTTAAAATGTTCATAAAATTGGTCCTCTGATTTTCTTGCAAATTTGTATATTTTGGCAAAATTATGTTAGCATAAATTTCCAGATCCTCCATATAACAATCTTTGTTCAGGTATTGGTAAAGATGTTTTATTTTGTCTGACGTGGCTGTCTTTAAAATAATTATATTGTCATCTTTGGCAAGTTTAGCTAAATCTCTAAAATTACTGGTAAGTTTGGATGAATCTGGTACAATAAAGTCAATGTCTTCCAATTTTTGTACTACTCCTGAAACATCTTCAAAGATACTCAGTGAAGAGAGTTTAGCCTTAGAGAGAGATTCTCTCTCACAGTACTGACCAAAATATTCCAATACTTCAGTCATTTTCTCTGTATTTGCATTATTCATCATGGCACCTTGATAAACATACTCAGCAATTCTCTCTCTGTGAAAGTAAAGGTTATCTAAAACAACAGAAGGATCTCTTAGAGTTGCTGCTAGATTTAATTTAAGAGTATGAGAAATATCACTGTAAGTATTTGGAACAGGTAAGCGATGGAACACCGAAAGTGAATCACTGCAATGAGCTGGATCACTGCAGTCTAGAACTCTCCAAGCATTTTTTACAGCAATTACATACAACCTCTTCTTCTCAATTAATGGGTACAAGGCCCAGTCTCCAAGAGTTTTCTGAATATATTGATGGCCTTTCACATAATTTATTTTTTTGTCTGATTCTTTATCACTGCAATAAAAATTTTCTTCTACATAATTAACAATAAATGACCATAACAAATCTAACCATTTTACATCTGGTAGTGCATCACCACCTAAAGGTAAAATGTCTTCACAGGCATGATATTTCTGGCCTAATTCTCTATGCAGTCTGTCAGCAAGGTCCTTTAATGTAAACCGTTTGAGCACACTTTGGTCTGTAAAGTTTTTAAGGGTATTTTCTACTAATTCTACCATATCACTGTTTAAAAATTCATTTCCTGAATTTAGTAGTAGAGGACAGTATGATGAAATGAATAATGGATTATCAGTATCAAAGTATTTGAGAATCTTGTCATTAGTGAGCAGCAGTGGAAGCCTTTCCAATTTACTAAGAAAATTTTGAGAGTGTGAAAGATACTTGAAAAGGTTGTACACATTCTCTGTACATAAAAATGGAGTCTCTGTGATGTGTTTCATTATCATTGGATTACATTTGTCAGGGTAATCTTCATCCCAGGAATGAAGAAACTCGAGAGCAATATCAGGTGTAAGAGTGAGATACTCAATTCCTACAGATTGGAGGATGCAGCACATGAAAGAGCTACCCACTTTCATACCAAGTCTTCTTAGCAAGATGGTTATCAGTAAAAGTCTGTCATCACTAAAGTAAACTGGAAATTCATTCCCATTCTTTCTTAATGCATGCCAATTTAACTCTCCATTTTGTGGCTGATTCACATTTTGTCTATTTTTAATCAAAGAACTATTGTCATAATCATTATCTAGAATGAAAACATCAAAGAAATGTAGCTGCTGATCAATGATGTATTCATAAAACCATTTCGTAAAATTTTTCCATGTTTCTGATTGTGTATTAGTTCCATTAGGGAAGGCTTTCCAACACAAAGAAATTTTTCTTGTATATTCACTTAATGTAATTCTGATATTGTTATCTGGAAAAATTGATTTTCTATAGTGATCAACAGCATAAACAGCAGCAGGAACAAGTACCTCCTTCATCAGCCAAGAATTCCACTTTTCTTTACAATCTTCTATGCCAGTCCACAGATTTCTTCGGGAGGAATTTAGAGTAAAATGCCCATTAATACTAAATGGTAATCCTGATTTTGTTGGCAATGGAAGATAACAGGATGTTGTATACAGATCATCAGTATTTATCTTATTGGTTTCTAAAAGAACAGCAGCTCCTGCATGAGGAAGCAGGCTAAGATATCTGTTAGTAAAAGCATGCTGTATTATTTCAGGCACTCTGTCTTTGTTTTCTGTACCAAGTTGTTGAACTATATACCAAGTGTACTCATCATTGTTAGAGTCTGCAATTTTCATTGTATAGCATGCTCTCATCATATCAATATTTAAGACAAAATTTTCAGGTTTCCTTTCTTTCATCATACTTTGCAATTTTGAGAGTTCATTTTGTTGGTGGATGGATGACTCAACTGAATACTCAGTATCACACTCCCCTGTTTCAGTAATGTTCATAATGGAAATTTTTCGAACATTTCTTAAAAACAGTAAACATTTTGCCATCTCAGCCTGGAACTCCCTCAACTTGTCTTTAAGTTTGTAAGGCTGGAAGGGTTCTGCAATATCAGATGTTTCACTTCGCAATGGGAGTCTGAAAACTGTGCCTTCCTGCTGTAGAAAAATATCTTCCAAGTAACCTTGGAAAGAATCTGGGTGATCTTTACGCAAATCATTCAGATTTACAAACTGCACCCCAGGTTTCTCTGGAGTGGCCATAGGATCATACTTGCAGTGTGGATCAAACATGCAGAGTGTCTCTCCTTGCGGTACAGCAGGTCCTCGAGTCAAGAATGATGGAGCATCAGTTATGTGATACACAGCATTGAAACCAATGCCATATTGTCCTGTACTGGCTGGATCTAAATTTTTGGTACTGTTACCCAAGTCTTGAATATTCTGAAGATCCTTTTCTGTAAAACACTTATTATTGTACACACTCAAAGCAGGTCCCTGTAGTGGTGCCCACTGTTTGTCAAAAAGCTTTTCAGTGGAGAGTCGTCGAAAATCCTTAATGAATGCTACCTCTGTTGCTCCAGCATCATCAGCATTTTGCAACAGCTCCTTCATAATTCCATAATCACATGGATATTCTTTAAGAATGTTTTTCAGCCGAACTGTTAAAGGTTCTTTCTGGCCAAAGTGCATCCTGTTGGAAGAGTTCTCAAGGCGTTGCCTGGTTTTTGTTTTTATTCCTAACCACTTTGTCATTTCCAGTGATAAAGAAATGTGTTTATGCAAACAGCGAAAGCCACTTGAGCTCAACTCAACTCCATCCTCCCAACACAATTTGTTTATGGGGCAGAGATAACCATCAGCATCTGGAAGGTGCAACAAATGAAGGAGTAATTGATAATTGCTGGAACTAGTCTCTCGAACATTAAATAATAATGTTAAAAGCTTGGATATTTGCAGTATTTCCAGTTCACTTAGTTTTTCCAGTTTATATTTTTCTTGCTTTTGATTGAGAACTTCCAATACAGAATCTACATGAAAGGTTGATTTAATACCTAAAGCTTCCATCAGTCGCGTGTACTTTCCGAGGCCCTCTACCTCCACTGAGAACAAATCAGGTGAACAATCAGTCTCACTAGAAAATGCAAAAAGGTTTGGTTCCATGAAGCCAGTTTTTGTAAGTAAGACCTTTTCACTTCTTAGCTCTTGTAAATGTTCTGGATTTACATTAAAGTCTTGAATCATACGTTCCAAATGACTATATATTTTATGAGAGATGTCCTTGATGTTACTGTCTACTGGTGATACAGTACTTACTAGTTTGAGCTGGTGACACACCTTGTTTAATGGCAGCTTATTATCATTTACAATAATGCCCAGCTTTCCAGTTACTGGTTTGGGTATCTTATCATTGTTTATGCGAGGCAACCAAAGTAACAAATTTGTGCTGCCTACAAGCTCCTTGAATTTTCCTAAGCACATATCAGCTGGCTTCGAAAATCCAATGGCCTTTAACTTGCTTTGTAGATCCAGTTTGTCATGGATGATACACACTTGAGAATTCTGATGTAGATGCATATCACCTTTCCAAGTAAGTGGCCAGTTATATGGCTTGGGCATGACTGGTAAAAATGAGACAGCTTTAATTCTTTGTGCAATATTATTTTGCTCATCAGGATTTTGTGTTGTTATATAATACAGTATTTCAAAAGCTCTTTCAACAGCACAATTATGACATGGTAATGTCATGACAGTCTCTGCTCTGTTGCTCACCATCTCTGTAGGAATAGATGAATCATTCATTCCCAAATACAGAAGGCTGCTATGCCTATAATGACTATCATAAAACAACCTCTCTGGAAATCTCTCATCAGCCACAGTGAACATAGCTGAAATTCTACTCATGGGGTTTATTAGCTCATTAGGAACTTTTAAATTTCCATTTGGGACTGTAGGAATGCAACGAACATTTTCTAGCTTTTTAAGACATGGTTGTTGAGTATCCATGATATACAATGTCAGCTCATTTCTCTTCTCTGAAGTAACATATTGCTCTGATATATTTGGGATGAAGTAATCTGAGAAAAAAGTGTCTTTAGAGATCATGTGTCCTGATATGTCCTTAAACTGGAAACCAGAAAAAATATCTTTAGGTAATTTTATCATCCTTAGATCAGAAGACTCCATTAAATTTTCCATATATTCAAAAGCATTTTTTCCAATCTTTTCTAGTTTATAAAATGACTCTTCTAGAAACATACATTCCCTCAGTGGATGCCACTTATTCCTGCTTCGAAAGACTTGCTTATCTTCATTGACAATTTTATCATAAAAATGTTTTTTGAGGTTTAATACTAAGCTATCATTTGTGTCACACTTTACAGGCCAAATGCAGTAGTAAGGACAATTTCTACTTAGGCCTTCTAATTGTAAAGCTGATAAAAGGCTGTGATAAGCAGCATTCACAGCATCATTTATCAAGGTTTCATTCCAGTTTAAGCCCTCCCTTCGGTCATCCTCTGTCTGTGTCTTGAGGCTTGTGCGGTCAGAAGCTACTTCGAAAATATCCATTTATCTGTACAGGCAGAGGTGTTGTTACTGGCAGTGGTAGAAAGCAATGAATATGGCTCTCTCTATAAAACCCTGGAGGAAGTTCTGAAAGATTAATGGGTTGCCATCCATCACTTTGCTCCTTTAATGGCACTGCCACAGCACCCAGAGGAAGGGCCTTACCTCTCAGAACTTCTGCAAATTTACATGTTGCCCATTACCACAGTGCCAAGATATAAGCCAGTTGACAGTCCAATTACCTTTAGAAATATGACACAATTTTCCACCTTCCTCTGAACACACTACTTTTATTTCTGCAAAAGTGCTTTCCTGAAAAGATTCTCTATTCCATTTAAAGTCAGTAGTAAACAGGTTAGCAACTCTCTCCACTTTTGTTTTATCTGCTCTGTTGCTGAAGACAGAGTTTCCAGGGGAAGTGGCACACTTTCCTCATTGTTCGTGAACTTTCAAACAACAACACTTTCTCTGATGGTGATAATGCATTTTATTCAAGAAAAAGACCTTGATTTCTTTGATATTCTGAGTAAAAATCAGCAGCTCCCCAATAATCTTGCTAAACATCTGAAGGAGTTCTATCATCGCTTTATACTCATAACTTACATTACTGATCTCGCTATTGTTTGCCTGAGCTGGAGTTCGCAAAGGAAAACGAAATAAGGTGCCATCAAATTTTTTGGTCTGTTGAATAATGCAGCCAAAAACTTCATTAAATGGTTTAAATTGCCCATGAAGTTTTCAAGCATAAATGAATTTCTCTCATTGGAAAAGTTGAATCTCACTCCTGGTGTCTGATTATTGCTATCTAAGTAAGTTAGGTGTGGATCAAATATAATATAATTAGACCCACTCATAATACTAGGTACATCAGTGAGGTTATAAACTGAGCAAAATCCTAGTCCAAACTTCCCTATTTTGGTGGCTGATATTCTTTAGTTCCTCCACCCAGTTTTTTAATATTTGAAAAATCTTCCTCTGTGAAAAAGGCATTATTATAAACCCACAATGCTGGTCCTTGACATTCTTGCAGTTTATCGCTGATAAGCCTTGTGCGTGCATCTTCATTTTGACGTTCATCATAAAGAAAGGAAATAGTGGTAGCACCAGCATCATCTGCATTTTGCACCAACTCCTTGAGGACTGCAACACCATCACGGTACTGCCGGAGTAAGTTATGGAGACGTGTGGTAAGTGGTTCATGTTGGCCCCACTCCATAAAAGCCTCTTGTCCAGCCAGTAAATGTTTGCTTAGAGGTGCTACACCCAAAGCTTTTGCTAGTTTGGTTCCAACACTGCTATGAATCACTCTTACTCCAAGATCTTTACTGTCTAGCCAGTCACAAGACTGTTCTGAGTAAGAACATTGATCTACTTCAATCAGCTCTAATCTTCCATCAATGTTTTCCACTGGCAATAATAGTTCTGAAGGAGAAATATCTTTAGTAAACTGTTCTAGTTTATGAAGAACTTGTACAACCATTCTTCTGTCATGATCAACATCAGCATGTCTTCCTGAACAATGGTGTTCTTGAATTTGTCTTAAAAGTGTTAAGAATAATTCCTTTGACTGGGTTTCAAAACATCCTAGAGTAGAAAAGAGTGATGCACAATCACGTAATTCAAAAGGCAGCTGATACATGTATGGTAACATTAGCAGGTCTCCTATCTGTGATGAGATATACACTTGTTTTGGATCTCTGAAACCCAATTCAGTAAAAACACATGGTGTTGTTGACAATGAGAGTAAGTAGCATGCATCTGCAGTATTGATAAATCCTGAAAGTTGCTTGTATGTTTCCTTTATTAAATCAAAATATCCTGCTTCATTATTTTGGTATGCATTCATTATATTTTTTAAATGTTCAATAAAATTTTGAACACTGGGCTTTTGATTCCAGCCAAAGTGGTTAGCAACATTATAAAAATCAGAGCAATGCACGAGGGGTACCACCGAGCCCAAAGAATTCTTGAAGTGATAGTAACTTTTAATATCTTGAGGCTTATATGCCACAGATGTTGTTGCCCAACTTAAGCTGTTGGGATAACCATCTGGTTTGGATGTTCCACCATATACAAAGTCAACATATTTTACAGCTTGACATATTTTCTGGCAATCTGGATGGTGATTTGTAGCTCTAAGCAAAGCTGCTGCCTTGTTTACTTTTTCCTTTCAGATAATGATTTGTTTTGGAAATTTTTAATGATCTGAATAAATTTACTTACTGGCATATCCTGCATCTTCTTCATCCCCAAATTCCGTAATATGGGGTAATATTTCCTAAAGCAGGCATTAGGATTTAGATCTTCTGAAATCAATGCTGCATTGTCAATATCATCAGGATCATATAGTTGGTTAGGAAGGAAAAGTGTGCCTTTCTCATTTGGAACAAATTTTACAAACTGCAGCTGATGCTGAATTTTTACACTGCACTGAAGGAATCTATCTTCCAAAATATATGCCACAAGTTTTGATGTATCATTATCAGAGTATGTATTCTCCAGGGCAAGGAGAAACAACATTTCCTTTGACAGTTCAGTGGCGCCCAAATTTTTTGCAAGCTGTCGACTCGCCCTATCAGATGGGACTATCAAAGTTTCAGGAAAACTTACAGGAAAGTTAACAATCTCCGGAAATATTCTGCCACAATTATTAATGCTTACATCAGTCAAAATATTATTTCGTCCATTAGCTTTGAATATATTTAGTGCTTTAAAGAGGTTCTTAATCTGTAGCTGAAGACAGTGTACTTCAGTAACATTCAATAAGGCCTGAACATGTTCATCACTGCGCCACATATTAAATGTACATGCCAGATCATTGCTGTTATGCATTGTCAACACCTTAAGCAAAGCCTGGGATACACCTCGAGCATCTGAACTATTGAAATAACTGTGCAATTCATGATGCCGAACATATTCTGGAGGCTTTGGAATTACTTGCACTTTCAAAAGCTCGAGAGCCTCTACAGCTGTTTGAGATAGAGTTGATCTCGAGTTTTGCACAATGATTGCAGCTGAAAGGCTTATTAGCTTTGAGGAATTTAAATTCTGACTGCTAGGTATGAATGCTATGTTCATTACACTTAGAAGATTGAGATGTTGCACAACTGACCATACTTTTGGCAACCAGCATTCCAACTGTTGCTGGGACAGAGAAGATCGCTTAACATATTGAGCACTTTCAGATAGTAGTTCCACCCCATGTTGTCTGGGAGAGAACAGCTTTAACTGAGTTACACCTGAAAAAGAAATTGTATGTTTTATATCAAGTATAGAAATCATACAAACAAGAGACATTTAAAAAAATTTGAAACTTAATATATACAGTGGAACCCCAGGGAATACGTTCCAAGCCCTGCCATGAATACCGAAAACAGCAGATAGTAGCAAATGCTATACAGTGGACCCTAGCTTAACGATATTAAACCGTTCCTGAGAGCTCAACGTGAGGCGAAATTATCATTAGCTGAATTAATTTTCCCCATAAGAAATAATGTAAATCAAATTAATCCGTTCCTGACACCCCAAAGTATGAAAAAAAAAAATTTTACCACATGAAATATTAATTTTAATACACACAAACTGAAGAAGACATGCACAATTACATGACACTTACCTTTATTGAAGATGTGGTGATGATTGATGGGATGGGAGGAGGGGAGAGTGTGGATGGTGTTAATGTTTAGAAGGGGAATCCCCTTCCATTAGGACTTGAGGTGGCAAGTCCTTTTCCAGGGTTACTTCCCTTCTTCTTTTAATGCCACTAGGACCAGCTTGAGAGTCACTGGACCTCTGTCTCACAACACATCTGTCCATAGAGGCCTGTACTTCCCGTTCCTTTATGACTTTCCTAAAGTGGTTCACAACATTGTCAGTGTAATAGTCACCAGCATGGCTTGCAATAGCTGTGTGAGGGTGATTTTCATCAAAAAAGGTTGCACTTCAAGCCACTTTCTCTATCCCCTCCTCCGGAGCAGTTTCCTCAGGTCTGGCCTCTTGCTGTTGAAGATGATCTTGCAGCTCATCAGTGGTTAGTTCTTCATTGCCCTCCTCCTCCAACTCTTCCACATCCTCCCCACTAACCTCCAACCCCAAGGACTTCCCCAAAGCCACAATTGATTCCACAACTGGCATAGGCTTCTCAGGGTTAGCCTTAAGTCCTTCAAAATCCCTTTTGTCTACACATTCTGGCCACAGTTTCTTCCAAGCAGAGTTCAAGGTCCTCTTAGTCACTTCCTCCCAAGCCTTACCTATAATGTTTACACAATTGAGGATGCTAAAGTGATCTCTCCAAAACTCTCTTAGAGTCAATTGACTTTCTGAGGCCACTACAAAGCACCTTTCAAACATAGCTTTTGTGTAGAGTTTTTTGAAGTTTGCAATGACCTGCTGGTCCATGGGCTGGAGAAGAGAAGTGGTATTAGGAGGCAAAAATTTGACCTTGATGAAGCTCATGTCCCCTGAAATTCACTCTGCCAAGTCTGAAGGATGACCAGGAGCATTGTCTAAATACCAGGAGGCACTTAAGGTCCAATTTATTTTCCAGGAGGTAATTTTTCACAGTGGGGGCAAATGCATGGTGTAACCAGTCATAGAAAAGGTCTCTAGTGACCCATGCCTTACTGTTTGCCCTCCACATCACACGCAAATTAGCCTTGAGGACATTGTTTTTCCTGAACACTCTGGGCGTTTCAGAGTGATACACCAATAAAAGCTTCACTTTGCAATCACCACTAGCATTAGCACACATCAACAGAGTAAGCCTGTCTTTCATAGGCTTATGTCCTGGGAGTGCCTTTTCCTCCTGAGTAATGTAGGTCCTGCTTGGCATTTTCTTCCAAAACATGGCCTGTTTCGTCACAATTAAGCACTTGTTCAGGTTTCAATTCTTGACTGTCTATGTGCTCCTTGAATTCCTTCACATATTTTTCAGCTGCTTTTTGGTCCGAACTGGCAGCCTCACCATGCCTTATCACGCTATGTATGCCACTTCGATTCTTAAATCTCTCAAACCAACCTTTGCTGGCCTTAAATTCACTCGCATCACCACTAGTTGCAGGCATTTTTCTAATTAAATCGTCATGCAACTTCCTAGCCTTTTCACATATGATTGCTTGAGAGATGCTATCTCCTGCTATCTGTTTTTCGTTTATCCACACCAATAACAGTCTCTCAACATCTTCTATCACTTGCGATCTCTGTTTCGAAAACAAAGTTGCACCTTTGGCAAGAATGGCTTCCTTGATTGCCGTTTTCTTGGCCACAATAGTAGCGATGGTTGACTGGGGTTTTGTGTACAACCTGGCCAGCTCGGTGACACGCACTGCACTTTCATACTTAGTATTACAAAAAAATTATTTTTGAGATGGTAGTTTTACTCATTTTGTAATAAAGAGTTCGGGATACCTAAATACACGTTAAAATAACTTAATCTTAATATAATATAAAAACAATCTTTGGTCTAGAGGTATTTTCTAATAAACATCTGATAATATATACATGTTACAATAATAAATTATAATTAGCATCTAACTAAAATAAATAATTCGTAACCGTACACAGGGTACAACTTTCTGACACTACTGTGTTTTTTATATATAATATATATATATATATATATATATATATATATATATATATATATATATATATATATATATATATATATATATATATATATATATAAAATATATATATATATATATATATATATAATATATATATATATATATTATATATATATATTTTTTATATTATATATATATATATATATATATATATATTATATATATATAATATTTATATATATATATATATATATATAAAATATATATTATATATATATATATTTTTATATATATATATATATATATATATATTATTTTATATTTTATATATATATATATATATATATATATATATATATATATATATATTATATATATATATATATATATATATATATATATATATATATATATATATATATATATATATATATATATATATATATATATATATATATATATATATATATATATATAATATATATATATATGAGCAATGGGCTAGTAACCCCTTCTCCTGTAGACATTTACTAAAAAAGAGAAGAAGAAAAACTTTATAAAACTGGGATGCTTAAATGTGCGTGGATGTAGTGCGGATGACAAGAAACAGATGATTGCTGATGTTATGAATGAAAAGAAGTTGGATGTCCTGGCCCTAAGAGAAACAAAGCTGAATGGGGAGTTTCGGTGGGGGGAAATAAATGGGATTAAATCTGGAGTATCAGAGAGTTAGAGCAAAGGAAGGGGTAGCAGTAATGTTGAATGATCAGTTATGGAAGGAGAAAAGAGAACATGAACGTGTAAATTCAAGAATTATGTGGATTAAAGTAAAGGTTGGATGCGAGAAGTGGATCATAATAAGCGTGTATGCACCTGGACAAGAGAGGATGCAGAGGAGAAGAGAGAGATTTTGAGATGTTAAGTGAATGTATAGGAAGCCTTTTGAACCAGTGAGAGAGTAATTGTGTAGGGATCTGAATGCTAAATAGGAGAAACTTTAGAGAGGGTGTGGTAGGTAAGTTTGGGGTGCCAGGTGTAAATGAATAATGGGAGCCCTTTGATTGAAACTTTGTATAAGAAAAGTTTAGTTATAGGAAAAAAAAATTTAACATATTTTAAGAAAAAGAGGATAAATAAGTATACAAAATATGATGTAGGGCGAAATGACAGTAGTTTGGTTGGATTATGTATTGGTAGATAAAAGGACTGTTGAGCAGACTTCGGGCGAGTACATGTAATAAGAGGGGCCACAGATATATCAGATCACTTTCTAGTGTAGCTACACTGAGAGTAAAAGGTAGGATGGTACAAGGAGAATAGAGCTCAGGGAAGAAAAAGGTGAAGGTTTATAAACTAAAAAGAGGAGGCAGTTAGGGTAAGATATAAACAGCTATGGAGGATAGATGGGCTAATGAGAGCATAGCATGGGGTCGAAGAGGTATGGGGTAGGTTTAAAAATGTATGTGTTAGAGTGTTCAGCAGAAGTTTTGTGGTTACAGGGAAAAGTGGTGCGGGAGGGAAGAGTACGAATTAGTGAATGAGATGGTTAAAGAGATGTAGTAAGGGAGAAAAATTAGCATATGAGAAAGTTTTTACAAAGTAAATGATGCAAGGAGGAAGGAGTATATGGAAAAAAGAAGAGAGGTTAAGAGAGTGGTGAAGCAATAGTAAAAAGAGAGCAAATGAGAGAGTGGTGATATGTTATCAACAAATTTTGATGAAAATAAGAAAAAGTTTGGAGTGAACATTAACAAGTGTAAGAAACCTAGAAAACAAATTGATTTGTCAGTTAAAAAAGGAGTGAGAGTTATTAAATGGAGATGTTATGAGTAATTGGGGAAGATGGAGGAATATTTGAGGAATTGTTAAAAAATGTTGATGAAGGATAGGGGAAGCTGTGATTTCGTGTATAGGGCAAGGAGGAACAGCATTCTTGTATGAGTGAGGACGAGCCAGTGTGAGTGTGGGGGAAGTTCATGAGGCAGTAGGTAAAATGAAAGGGGGTAAAGCAGCCGGATTGATGGGATAGAAATAGAATGTTAAAAGCAGAGTGGGATATAGTTTTGGAGTGGTTGGTGGCAATTATTTAATAAATGATGGAAGAGGGTAAGGTCCTAGGAATGGCAGAGAGCATGGCATAGTTCCTTTGTATAAAAGTCAAAGGGTAAAAGAGAGTGCAAAAATTATAGGGGATAAGACTGTTGAGTATACCTGGCAAAGTGTGTATGGTAAGTTATTATTGAAAGAATTAAGAGTAAGACGGAGAAATGGATAGCAATGAACAAGGAGCCTTTAGGAAAGGTAGGGGGTGTGTGACCAGAGTGTTTCACAGTGAAACATATAAGTTGAACAGTAAATAATTAGATAAGGCTAAAGAGGTCTTTGTGGCATTTACGATTTGAAAAGGCATATGACAGGGTGGATAGGGGGGGCCAATGTGCAGATGTTGCAGTGTATGGTGTAGGAGGTAGGTTACTGAAAGCAGTGAAAGTTTTTAACGAGGATAGTGAGGCTCAAGTTTAAGAATTAGGAAAGAGGGAAATTATTTCCAGTAAAAGTAGGCCTTAGACAATGGAGTGAGATGTCACCGTGGTTGTTTAATATATTTATAGATGGGGTTGTAAGAGAAGAAATGCGAGGGTATTGGCAAGAAGGCTGGAGTTAAAAGATAA